ATTCACCCCCACCCGCCCCCACCCCAAACCCCCAGCTCGGAGTTAGGCTCCACCACTGTTAAGCGCTCTGAGACACTAACCGCATGGAGGGTGATATATAAGTGCAAGTTGTTGTTGTTGTTATCATGTTGTTGAGACGTCTCAAAGTGCTTCACAGAATATACTGTAAAGTTAATTGTATATTTTGTGGGTGAAATGCGGCAGCCAATTGCGTACTGTAGTGTCCTACAAACAGTGGTGGATTGACTGACCAAATTATTGTTATGAAATCTTTTTGGAAGGGATTATTACCCCCGGAAAGTGATCCAACAATCTGCTAACAACCGGGTTCCTACTAACTGCTAGGTAAACCGAGGCGTGTGGAATAAAGAAACCAACCTAAGTTTTCACCCTGCCTGGGAATCAAACCCAGGTCTTCTCCCTTGCGAGGCAAGTGTAACCTGTATGCTACAGGACTCCAGGTACTGTAGTTCTACCACAGAGTAATAGGAATCTGAACACACAGAAAGCCAGAGATGAGAGATTTTAAGAGCGAGATGGTTAGAATTCTTGGAGTAATAGTATTAAGGGATAGCCCAAACGGACTTGTGCTGTTCCAAATTTTCTGTGTTTCCACTCAGAGATGAAAATGTCATGCTTCCTCACTGACGACTTGGCCACAGGAATATTTACAGCTGGTAGCTGCAAGCTACCTGCTCTTTAATTGCATGCTAACCCCGCTTACAGATGCCCAGGTTCTTGCCCTTAAAACGGGACCAGCAATTGGGATTAATTAACTGCTCGGCAGACTGAGGGTTGGCTCTGCCCCAAAGGAAGTTCCTCCAGGACTTTCTGGCAATGATGCGTCTTCCTTCTGCGTTGTCGTCTGGGGCACCCACACATGGCTTGTTCTACAATGATTCAACACTGCAAAAAATCTAGGTTTACCCAGAACTTCAAAGCATCCATCTTATTACGGCCATACAATACTGGTGGTTTCTCTGTGCAGGTAGAATGAGGCTGTTTTTCTTATGGACAGTATGAATGAAAGCCGGCTATCTAATAGAATGAGGCTTGTATCACTAGCTGATATTTTGGGGGTCAGCCGGGTGTCTGACACATGTGGAAATTGTGCTTAAGAGTATCCAAACCAGTTTGATAGTTCTGCACATGCATCCCACCTACATGTGAAGTGGAATGAAATACACATTTATTGCCCTTGAGGGATGCACCTTGTTCATCTAATTTCGCTGAGTATGAGGCACAAGTTGGAAAGAATCAAATCTTGGGGTGCCACAGTGGGTGTTTGGGTACCGCTGGAGTTTAACCAGTTAAAATTACATAGCTTGCCATTGAGAGCACTGTCTGGTAAGCTTTCCGTTGCTTGTCCAACACCCTATCCGTTAGGGTTTTGGCTAGCAGGGTTAACAAGAGCTGAGTGGGAAGAATTCCTTCCTCCCAAGTCTTGCCAGTGAACCAGACTGTCTGGTCTGTCTGTAGGGGTGCCTTGCAGTACTGCAGCCCACAAGACGACACATCTGGAGGGAAGAAAACAATAAAAAAAAGTGCACTTTGCACGGAGAATTCATTTAAAAAATGTGCGAAAAGCAACGTTTGAAAACCTGTTGACAAAAAAATGTCCAAAACTCCTCTTTAATTGATTGATCAGCTCTTACATTTAATACATTAAATGTCCTTGTTCTAGATCAGTGGATACATGTTTTTTGTAACTCATTTGTTAGCAGTGGAAATAAAGCTGCACATTTTAAGACCGAGCTAAACCAGTTATAACATTTCTTCACCCAAAGGATAGAGGGAATGCAGATTGCTCCTACCCCAGAGGGGAGAGACGCAGAATGGATTGAGGTGTTTAAAAGTAAGATGGATACAAGTATTTGGGCATGTAAGAGTAATAAGGCATATGGGGAAAGATCGTGGAAATAGATTAAAAATAAAAAGAACTGACAACTTCTAATAGCATGGCAGAGAGAGCTGCCTCGATAGACCCAATAAACTATTCTTGTTGCTCTGTTACTGAATTGCATGATTGTACATTTCCGATGCAACTGTGATTCTCCTCTATGAACGAGCAATTCTGAGGACATGTGGGTAGAAATTCCACCTGGCTCTAGATTTACTGCATTAACGTAACATTCCACAGCGTTCAGAATTTCTCAATCACAGCCTTTAATTTTGAAGCAGTTTCTTCTGTAAACTCGTTCAGGAACTATTGTTTTTTCAGTCTGACAAATGCAGAAGCCCTTTACCATGCTTAAGAGTACCAAACCAGACTGGCGAGGGAAGGGGGCGAGATGGAGGCACTGCGGGATGGAGTTCCAGAGGGTGGGGTCAGAGTGGCGGAAGGACCGCCCGCCATTAGTGGGCGAGCAAGGCGGGGGGGACGTGAAGCAGGTCGGAGCCCGCTGAGCGGAGGGAGCCAACGAACATGCACAGTATTAAACACGAGAACTGCTTTGTGACTTACACGTTTGTTTGCTGACGATGACTCTGACTACATCGGTGCTTCTAATAGAAGATGCAACGGGTCACTGAGGATTTTGTCCAGAAGAATAGAACCAGAGGACATGTCCTGGGGATTCAAGGCAAGGTGATGGAGGGTTTCTGCATGTGTTGGACACCCAGCTGACCCAAATAAATGTGAATAAGGGACATTCCTTTGTTTCATCATCTCACTTAAAACATGTAAAATCGTATTCTATACATCCCAGTAAGTACAATATTGGATGGATCAACAGAATGAGCTTACCTGCACCGCATAGCCATCCGAGGCCCCTCAGCAAACTCTCTCTTGGGAAAGATCGCCCTCGTCCTCAGCCAGCAGGGCGATCCGACGTTTTGACTGCTGTGGCAAGTGAGTAGAAATTTTAAACCTTGCCTTCTGTGAGCTTCTACCTGGTTGTTAAAGTCTGAGGAATTCAGGTTGTCACTCGGTTACATAATAATAATAATCCTTGCATTTCATATGGTGCTTTTCACGTCTTCGAGACGTCTCAAAGCGCTTCACAGAATATGCTGCAAAGTGAATTGACTGTATATTTTGTGGGTGAAACGTGGCAGCCGATTGCACACAGCAGTGTCCCACAGACAGTGGTGGATTGAGTGACCAAATTATTATTGTTTTTTTTTCTTGGGTGATTATTATCAGGAGTAAGGAAACTTGCCTAAGGTTTCACCCTGCTGGGAATTGAACCCAGGTCTCTCACTTGCAAGTCGAGCGCTCTAACCATTGAAGTTTGGTTCCATTGGCCTCCCCACCCCACAATGGATTGAGCTTTTAGACATTCAGCCACTGCTCTCTGGGACTCTATCCCGGAGTCCCTCCAACTCGCTCCCCCCCACTTGCACTTTCAAAGACTTACTTCTTTGACCACGTTTTCCATTCTCACTCTCGGCAACTCCCCTCCCACCTTCAGCCTCGGGTACCTCGCCAGCCATGTAAAGCCATTCACACCCCTGGCTCTTAACCAACATAAAGGAAATTGTCCATGGTGGTGGAGCTCTCCTACCACTATGTTTCTGTAAAGTGGACGGACTGTGTATTTGGAGGCGAACATGACAGCAAATTATGCACAGTGAGGTCCCACAAGCAGCCAAAAAGTGAATGTGCACAAGATCGTTAACATCTACCTGAACAGACAGACGGGACCTCAGCTTAACGTCGCATCAAAGGACGACATCTCCAACAATGCAGCACTCCCCCAGCACTGCACTTAGCACTGCCTTAGTTTAGGGGGTCAAAATGAGTTAAGAGGCTTGAACCCACACCCCTAAGATAATAGGTGTAAAAACTCAGTGAGGACACACTCAGGTAGCTTATAAATCATCCCTTAAATCATTGTATTTCTTGGAACAAACTAAAAACTTGTAATCTTGTGATCAATTTTTATTATTGGTGCAGAAACACAACAGCAACGGTGAAAGTTTTTTTGCACAGTAGAACTTCACCTTGTATAATTGATTCAAAGTTGGTAAGCAATAGAAAACACATCCAGCATTCACTCGTGTCAGAATTTCAAAGATTTCATCTACTTCCAGGCCGAGTGGAACTAAACCCTGTGAACAGGACCTGGGACAGAATATCTGAATTTGCGGTTAACATTGGTTGACACAAATCTGACCGGTGTTATTATGCCTTTGAGTTTAAGATGCTCTGGTTTAGATCTGAAACGTGAACATTCATTTGCAATAAGCGGGTGCACCGATTTCTGATATGGGAAAGCTGGGAATGCCTTGTCTTTAGTAAAGTTGATGGAACAGTGTCAACCGATGACCGCAACAGACAAGCCTAATTGTTAGAATTAGTGTGCAAACTCGTCGTTTAAATAGCTCCGATAAAAGTTAACCGAGGAGAAGATTTTTAATTCAGTTTAAAAGCCACCTTCTCTCCAAAGACACTCAGCTACAGGGAGCCAAAATCACAAGTCTCAAGGACCAGTCAATCTTTCAAAGTGCCTATAACTTGCGGAGAGGTTAAAACCAGATAATAATAATAATAATAATCCTTGCATTTGGTATGGTGCCTTATCACGTCTTCGAGACGTCTCAAAGCGCTTCACAGAATATACTGTAAAGTGAATTGACTGTATATTTTGTGGGCGAAAGGCGGCAGCCAATTGCACACAGCAGTGTCCCACAAACAGTCGTGGATTGAAGTGACCAATTTATTATTATTTTTTATTTGAAGGAATTATTACCCCCGGAAAAGCAATCCGCCAATTAAATAACAACCGGGTTCCTACTTACTGCTAGGTAAACACAGACGTGTGGAGTAAGGAAACTTGCCCAACATTTCACCCTGCTGGGAATTGAACTCAGGTCTCTCGCTTGCAAAGCGAGTGTATCTAACCACCAGTTGAAGAAAAACTAGCAGAATGCACATTCCCTGCAAAACAAAACAGTTCACATATTGAAGTCAGCTTCATGGCTCATCTCATTCATCGTTGCAACATCCTACAGTGTAAATGTGGCTTCACTGTTAAGAAATGATTCAAAATATTATACATCTTTTGGCTTGTTTATTTGAGTGGCCGATTCTCTACGCCAAATCCAGGTGAGTACCTGAATAGTTACAAACCACCATACAAAGCAGCACAAGTACGAGTCATTCCAGATGTGAGTACTGATGTTCTCTGCAGAGCTCCAAAGTACTTCAGAGCTCCCACGCTAAGTGTTTTCTGATGCGATATCCTCGAGGTCCCCCGTGATAATTAATTCCAAATCTGGGGTTTCTGACTGCAAGCCATTGTTCATTTCGCTGCACTGAGTTTCACCTTCAATGCCCGCCTCGTCAACATCCGGAGCATCGTAGAACGTTTCAATGTAAGGCTGAGATCCCTCTTCTTCTGTCTGCCGAAAATCCTCGCCCGTCCATTCATTTAAGGATTCCGCCTCCTCTTGGACGTCCAAGAGTACGGCAGGTGCTGACATTTGAGAAGAGGACCTTACGGTTGGTAGAGATGCCAAGGGGAAGGACAGAAACCCAGGGTATAATACATAAGAGGTGTTAAAATAATCTAGTGAGGACACGCTGGATGGGTTTCGACCTGATGAAGGGATGGATACTTGGAAGTATGTACCCGTTTCTGGATCGTACAATGTCTTTGTCTGTACTTGGATGGGTATGTCCACAACAAAGTACTGACCCGTTTCAGGATCCTGAAGTAACTTTCTCTGGGTCAATGGAAATGAGTGTATAGGTGCGACCGACTGGCCACTCTTCAATGCTACAATGTTGGGGACGGTTGGAATTAGATGGGGATCAAGCTGCATGGTAGGTACCGGGGAACATACAACAGGCAGAGGCAATGGTGACACGCGTTTGGGGGTTTCCGTCACCTTAGCCACAGGTGGAGCAGTCTCTGCCTTTGCGTCCTGAGTCCCCTGCTTCCACTGCTTTCCTTCGCTCTTTTTCCTCCTGCTCGTCAGCTTCTGGGCTCGACGCAAAGCCTTTTCCGATTTCGGAGGGACAACCGGGGGTTTGGCTGCTGAGTGTGGCCGCGGATTTACTGAGGAGCGAGGAGTCATCTCCTCAGCCTCAACGTCAGCCTCAGCTTTGTCACCATCCAACCTTTCTTCTCCTCTGTACCTGCTCGGCGTTTCCTTCCAGGCGTTCTCCTCGATGTCATCAGACCCCGTTTTGGGGAAGGTGGGCCTCACCGATTTTGTTACAGGAGATGCTTTGAATGTGTTGTCTTTGATCTTAAACATGGTGACCCGGGGTGAACCTCTGACACTACTCCCTGGTCTTGACATCTCCTGCCTGGATACATTGCCTTGGGACATTTCATCACACAATGAATCTAAGGAACAGCTGCCTCTGAGCTTATCCCCCAACGAGTCTCTTGACCTTTCCTCCTGAAAGTCCACGGGTAAGTAATTGCTCTCAGCTTTCTTCTCACAGCCACCTTCTGGGTCACTCAATGCGTAATACTGCAGTAGATCACTCTTTTCCAAGTCTTTACTTGCCTCGGCCATGGTGCGCCCATTCCTCTCCACCGTGCTCTCTACTGCTTCCTGCTCTGCTTCTCGATGCCGTTCATCCAGCAAGGCAAAGTAAGACTGATGTGATGATTTCAAACCTAGTGTTGGTGCCTCTCTGGTGGAATGAGAAGGAATCCTGTTGGTGGGGACCTTGTTGTCCATTGGCAATGCCTGAACCTCTTCTTCCCTCTTCTGGGCCAACAGCTCATTGCGCATCACGTGATGTTTCTCGGTGTGGCACGTTTCTTTGTCCCTTTGGCCAAGCGAGGGTTTTGTGTGGTGATGGACTTTGCCCAGCCTTTCCTCTGGCTTTCCTTTCACTGCCTCTGCCTCTTCCGATCTGACGTTCCAGTGGGAAGAATTGCCCTGTGGGTCCGATGAAGGCTGCTTGGGTTTCTTTCCCACGGTGGACTTGTTGGGGTGATGTGCCACTTTGGTGTCCGAACCCCTCTGAACCTGATGGTCTGTCGTGGCCATTGCGGACTGGGAGCGCCTTGTATTCCTCCCTCGCCAGCTGGGGTAACTCCCCGCCTCCTTAATGGTTTGAGGTGAACTCAGGCAGAGATAGTCATCGTTCTTAAACATGTCAGATTCAACGGTGTGATTTACTGCTGGGTTACTGGCCGAATAGGCGGTGCGGATTGATACACTGGGTATTTTCTCCGGCTTTTCCTGAACATTGGAAGTATTAGGATCGCTCTGCCCCACAGCCAGCCCTGGAGGCACTGACGCTGTTCTTTCATGGCCCGGTTGCTCATCGTAGAAAGAGTAGTCATTCCTTTTGCTTTGCTCAGAAAGGCTCTGCGGGGTGAGAGCGGAACTGTACGTGCATTTCACCAGCTTCCTGACGTCCTTGAGGTTGTACAGGAGGCTGGATGCCTTGGATTTGTAGCTCTCGCGCGTCCTGCACTCGGCTGCTCCCCTTGCTTCGTCCGCGCGGAGGGGGACGAGAGGAGGTGTCACGATGATCGGCTGCCGTTCCGAAGCGTCGCCTTCACCCATGTTGCGAACAATGTTCGGCTTCAAAAGTTTTGAAATACTGAAGGTTGGACTCTGTGCGGGAGGCACCTGTTCGTCTATCACCTTAACATCGGACCCACATTGGCTTTTAGGGGAACAGGGGTCTTTTCTGGAGATCTCAAGTGCTTCCCTTACCATAGCCGTATCCCTCCATTTTTCCCCCAGTCCATCTCTTAGCGTTATCAATGGCTGAGGGCTAATCTCTTCACTGTTTCCCTTGGAGCGAATCCCATCCAATCCCAACACCTGCAAATTGCACTCTTCCACGTGATTCTCTCTGGCACCAGAGTTAAAGTCTACAGGCACAGCCCACGGTTCGCACGGATCTTTGCAGCCGGGCAAACACTCTGACACCGCGTGCTCAACTGGCGATTGCACGTCCGGATGTCCGAAGCTGAGGGCTCCGTCGCAGAAGCTCTGCATCTGTACGTTGGGCTCCAGGTGGTTCAGTTGCTCCATACAATCCTCGTTCTCAAACATGCACTTGCTGTGGTCTTGCCACGACCTGAACGCACTGTATTCGCTGTGGAGAAAGCTGTTCTTGGAAGCCAGTTGCTTCATTTTGTTCGCTTTTTCGGACTTGCATTGGTCCAGCCTGTTAGTGCAGTGTTTCAGAGCTGCCATATCAGGCAGGCGAAGATGCTTTCTGAGCTGCGAGTCTCTCTTTCGTCCCATTGGGCTCCACTTGCTGCCCTTTTCCTGTGCTTCTTGCTTACTCAACCAATAGTTCTCCTGACAAGTCGCTGAGAAGCTGCTCAGTTCCTTGTGCATGTTGATGATAGCCGACGTGTCCCAATGTGCCAGGTCTTCAATAGCCCTGCTCCCCTCTGATGTTTTATGGTGCCCCCTGGTACTCAACATGAGGTGTTGGGCAGAATTCCTTTCATTCTGATCAAATGCCTCGATCAAAGAAGCAACTTTCTGCTTACCAGACTTCCAACACGAACCCACAGCCTCGCTCACAAAACCGTTGCCTGTGATGTGTTTGGCGCCCATGCTCTGTCCGAGGGCAAGGCTCTGCGCCGCTGACTCCTGGAATGTTTCGGGTAAATCCTTCGGTCGCTTTTTAACGGGCGCGGGCGGCGCGCTGCACTTCTTGGTTTCGCTGGGGCAGCCCTTTCTTCTTTCCGAGCACGGACGCCCGCTCGGATAATTGCCACAAGGCGAAGGAACCTCGTCCGAGTCGTGGCACATGCCTTCCTCGGCAACGCACAGGCTCTTGAAGGCCCGCTCGGTCAGACTGCTCACCTCCCTGTCCGCCTCGTCCAAGCCACTCCCCACGCTCGAAGTGTCGCTAAAACTATCCACATGCTTCGAACGTCCCGGCATCTTTCCTGTGCCGCTCGTGCACACATTGTCCAAAAAGTTCATGATTCCGGTCGGTCGCACCCGTTTTATGGAAGTCAGAGGGGAAAGTCAATTCTCGTTTGGCCAGGGTTTTTCGAGCGCTTGCTTTTGTACTCAGTGCTCGAGGATTCTCTCCCTTTCATCCATTCGTTCCCTATGTCACAAAAGAAAGGGTTCACCTTCTTTAGAAAGAAAAGTACGGCAGAAAAAGTCACACAAATCTGATCGTGCATCAGTCCAAGTCCCGTCAAGAGTTTCTATTCTAGGCAAGTTTTGACCTAACTCATACTTTGCATAAGTCATATTAAGTGTATGGTCCCGACTGATATGACTTATGTGAGATTTACTGCACTTTCTTTCCGACTTGAACATTATGGGGAGGGGGAGGTGTTGGGGAGCTGTAAACTGTGACATGTGACGTGATAGATGTCATGGTTAACACCAAGGAAAATTGGAGTTCAAACCAGCCGATATTTATTGCACAGGGATGGACAGCATTCCAGCACAACAGTTCGGCTTAAAACCTCCACTCTTGCAGATCTGGCTGGCATTGGTCTCCCATTAAGAGAAACTCATTGTCACTCTCTGGAACTACAGTGGCCACTGTTGCCAAAGGCTTTTTCTCTCCTCCTCTGTTGGGAGGAACTTAATTTCCTCTGGGCTTTGGTTCATTGAGTGTTGGTCACCCTCCAATATCTCACCCAAAACTGAGCCCGAGCTTGTCACCTGACCTTACACACAACTTCCAGCAGGGGTCTCTAGTTAGTAAACAGGAACTGGGAAGCCACGTTGATTTTCCCTTCTTTATAGGACTATGAACCCATGGCACTAAGACCAATCGGAAATCTCAACGTGTTGCCATCAGCATAGCGCAACAAAGACTGGTCGCACCTAATCATATTTTTAGTTGTGACGGTTTTCGGGTTAATTGTGGTCCTTCACCTCAGCTCTCAACAACATCACTGTGACAGTCAACATCAGTCCTGCCCGATCAGTGACAGTATCTGGTAAGCAGTTGCATTAGATTCCAGGTTCAACGTCGAGCTAAGGGTACAATAGGCTGCTACAATTGGCCTCAACAGGACAATGATTAGGATACTCTCAATCCTTCTGCAGTGACCTCCTGTTGGAAGCTGAGGACAGGAATAGGCTCCCCAAAATGCTCGGTCAATTGGAACTTTCAGGACTGAGGCCGATAAATATTTGTTAGGTAAAGGTATCAAGGGATATGGTGAAAAGACAGGTGATTGGAGTCTGTCATGATCAATCATGATCTAACGGAAGGGTGGAACAGGCTCAAGGGGCTGAATGGCCTACTCCTGTTCCTATGTTAATAATAATAATCTTTGCATTTCATATAGTGCCTTATCACGTTGTTGAGATGTCTCAAAGCGCTTCACAGAATATACTGTAAAGTATAGTCACTGTAAGTAACCACACCAGCACTCGCTGTCAAGCCTCACACAAACACAGAGACCACTTGGGAGGGTGCCTGATGCCCAATTGAACTGCAACCCAGCAGAAGGAAAAAGGAGTCATATGCCTTCAGGAGGCAAACCTTGAGAAGACCTTGTGCAAGACTAAATGGAAGTGCTCTGTACACAGTTACGATTAATACAATGGAGCCTTACCTTCAATCCAGCTCACCCATAGGGGAAAATAAAGTCAATGTGAAGTGGGATCTCACGAGGAACCATGAAGCATGAAGATGTGCTCGGTAAATCTGGATCTGTTATGGGGGAGCAGGGGAGGGAAAAGAAATTGGTCAGAAAGCCATGTGACAGTTTTATTCTGGTATCTTTTGTTTTGGCATCTGACAGACCCAGGAACTCGTCACCTGAGTATCCAAAACCAGACTGAGAGGTTCCACATATGCACGTCACCTACACATGAAAATTTCCCCATGTCTGGAATGAATGGAATGTGTACTGTCTTCCCACCATGCTTACATGATTCCGGAGAGTATAAGGCGTTAGTTGGCAAGAGGGTTCAAACTTTTTCCGTTTCAGAAACGGGTGCCAGAAAGCTCCTGTATTTGCTACAGAACAATTATTCTCAAAGTGCCGATATTACAGTAGTACTGGACCCGATGAAGCAATGACTTGGCTGATAATTACTGTAGTCATTGAGTGTGAATGTCACACAAACATGGGAGACAGTTCAGACTGAATTGCAGTTTTAAAGTAGAAAAACGGTCTCAATGGTATGTGGAGCGTAACATCTAGGTTCGAACTCAGAATTTCATCATTCCCTGTGGTTTTTGAAAAATCCTTCTCCTTTTGGAGCCCATATTTGAGCCCAAACTTAGCTTTTTGAAGGGTTTTTCACAAGACAAAGAGCTGCGCAGTGGGCACATGAGTTGATGAACTCCAAACTTCAGAGAGAAGTGTCTGCTGACAACTGCACTGCCAGCAGAAGGCAGGCCAGTCCATTAAAGCACAGAGACTCTTTACTGGCTGTACTCACTGCAGTGTTGCACAAAGTTCAGTGAAAGTTTGCAGAATGCAAGTAAGGAAACTAAACGGTGCTTCAAACTGGGTAAAGCAGCCAATACTGACACGCTGAAAGCTCCCCTCAAAAGATTTAAATTGGAGTCCAGTAGGATAGCGGTTAGTGCGTTCGTCTCGCAAGCGAGAGGACCCGGGTTGGATTCTCTGGCCTTAGGAAAGTTCTCTTACTCCACACACCTCTGTTTACCTAGAGGTAAAAGTAGGAACCCTGTTGTTAGTTGACTGACAGATCCCTCAAGAAAAAATTGGTCACTCAATCAATGACTGTGTGTGCGCAATTGGCTGCTGCATTTTGCCCACATCATACAGTCAATTCACTTTACAGTATATTCTGTGAAGTGCTTTGAGACGTCTCAATGACATGATAAGGCACTATATTAAATGCAAGGATTATTATTAAATTGCATTGAATGTCTCTTTCAAATGTTGCCTAGCCCGAGTTGCTGAGCGGTGACCTTGCAAGATTGGGTTTCTCCACCTTTAGCTCTGAGATTCAAATGATTGCAGCCAATTTAGGCTCGAAATTCCACTCAGTCTTAGCCTGTAAGGCCATTTTGTCTTAAAATTTTAAGTGTGCAGAATTGGGTTAAATTCTTCAATTCAGTCTCAGTTTGAAAGCCTTTTTTTGTGTAAAGAAAGACACAAAAGAAAACTGTGGAAAATTGGCTTTTTGAATTCAAGAATTTCACCCAATTCTGGGCCTGCTTAAAATGTGAAGACAACACAGTCTTATCCAGGCATTACATGTCTGGAGATTTTACACTCCACATTATCTCACACCCCCCCCCCATTGCAATGTTCACTCTCATTGACTATTTGAGAACTGAGCTGAAATGCCCCCCCTCTCCCCAATGTGATAGATCAGGCAAGTCACACCAAACTGAGTTATTTGCTTTTTGGTCAGTGGGAAGCCCATCACATTAAGAGTATCCAAACCAGGATATTGCAATGAGAGAGGGGAGAGTGGGGAATTTGGAACATAAAGACACATTAGGCCTGGTTAACCAGACTGAGAGTTCCATGTGCGTACACTACCTATTTGCCCTGTGTCTGGTTTCGAATGCGCGTTCTCTTTCTGGAGGGACGTGCTCTGCTCACCTAATTCCGAGGAGTATTAAGCAGCAGGTTGGAAAGAGACAATGCTTGGGGACCCCGGAGTGATGACCATTCAATACTGTATATACTTCCATTGCTTATTCCTATGTGGAGTCCCGTAGCATAGTTGTTAGCGCGCTCGCCTCGCAAGCGAAAGGCCCTGGTTCAATTCCTGGGCGGGGAGAAAGTTTCCTTACTCTACTCCTTACTCTGTTTACCTAGCAGTAAGTACCCAACCTGTTGTTAGTCGATTGGCAGATCGCTTTTTGGGGGTGATAATCCCTCAAAAGAAACATTTGGTCACTCAATCCACGACTGTTTGTGGGACGCTGCTGTGCGCAATTGGCTACCGTGTTTCACTCACTCACAAAATATACAGTCACTACACTTTACAGTATATTCTGTGAAACGCTTTGAGATGCCTCAATGAACGTGATAAGACGTTATATCAAAATGCAAGCATTATTATTAATATCGTTATTCTCGATCCTCACTCTGATCAGTCACAGATCAGATCATGTGCTATCAATTTGTGTTCACTCGACGTGCTTCACAAGTGGCATTGTTTTTTGAATGGCTGTGTTGACTGTAGAGTATCATAACAGTTTTGAAGCGTTGAACAGCAAACGGTGCGGAAGGGATTTAAAGCCACACAGTGTACAGCCACCTACCTGCTGTGTTGGATGAAGCAGCAGGGCTTGTGTGCATTCCCAGCCAGGCTGCTGTACGTTTAAAGCTTCCCGCCTCTCCTTCATTTGGTCTCATCACTGCCCATCTATAGTGAAAAGTTAAATTTAGGGCGCTGAACAAGATCCTTTGGTAGTAAAACTTTGGTCAGGCACAGCATCTGACCTTCAGCTATTTTGACTTTACACAACCTCGCCAAGTACAGCACAGATAACGGAGATGCAGCAAACACAGGCAGACTGAGTATGCGCTGAGATTCTGTGTAAAAGCAAACATATCCAATGTAAAATATTGGCCCTCAGTTTTTTCATGTTCACAGTGATGAATCGTGGAATCCCATCGCCTCGCATGCAAGAGAACCCGGTTCGATTCCTGGGTGGGGTGAAAAGTTAGGCAAGTTTCCTAACTCCAAACCCCTCTGTTTACCTAGCATTAAGTAGGATCCTGGTTGTTAGTCGATTAGCAAATGGCTTTCTGGGGGTAATAAACCCTTCAAAAATAAATAAGTAAAAATCATAATAATTTGGTCACTCAATTCAGGGCTGTTCGTTGGACACTGCTGTGCACAATTGACTGTTGCGTTTCACCCACAAAACACATTCAATCCACTTTACAATATATTCTATCAAGCACTTTACAATATACTTGAGATGTCTCAAAAAGGCACTGTACGAAATGTAAGGATTATTATTATGAAACAGAGAACACATTTCTTCACCGCTTCATTGTGTGTGTGACTCTGGAGAATGAACAACGGAATTACTATGTTGTTGTTTAAAGTGCGCCAAGGGGATATCCCCCCACCCCGGCCAACCCCTTCCCTCTTTTCGACAACCCAATGGGTAAAGGCAACAACACACGTACAAGCCTCAAGCCACACAGACTGGTAGTTTGCAGGTTCGAGTCCTGGTAAATGTTAGCTGATCTCAGTGTAGGCAACAGCTGGGGATCTTACAATTGGCTTCGGCACCAATGTGTAATATATTACCTGCTGTGGATGGCATATATCAGGCTGTAACTTTGGGTGTCAAATGCATTAAGCATGTCAAAGTGACTTTATGGGAATGCAATGTGCTGTTTTTGTGGTCGATCGGGAGTCTGACGCACGCGGAAACCCATCACTATTGCTTAAGAGTATCCAAACGAAACTGAGAGTTCCATACAATCACCTAAACATGGAAATTCTAGAAGTATTTATTGGACTGCGTATTTTCCCCTGGTGGGATACTTCACCCTTACCTAATTCTGGAGAGTATCAGGCTCAGACCGGCAAGAGCCAAGGCTTGGGGACCTCAGAGTGTGCATTGAGGTACTACTGGAGTCTAGTTTAGCTTGCCATTGAAAGCATTGGCTGGCAAGCTTTCCCATTGCATGTCCAGCTAGGACAAGCCTACCAGTTAGGGCTTTGGCTTGCAGGGTTAACAGGAGCTGAGAAGGAAGAGTCACTGCGCCCAATGTCTGCTCTTCCAAGTCCTGCCGATCAGCCAAGCTACCTGTGCTCTGGTCAGCAGTGCCCTGGACTAAAGCGAACTCCCCTGCCTCAGGAACAGGGACTCATGGCTGGGACTGCATTGTCGGAGATGCCGTCCTTTGGCTGGAGAGTTAAATTAAGGTCCCATCTGCCTGTTCAGGTGGACATTAAAGAATCTTGCTTTGCTGCTGCAGCTGTTGTTGCTGAACAATTCAATAAGATCTCTTTTGCCTTAATCAATAAGCTTGCTGCCCACACCAACAAGTAAGCCACAGATAAATGCCATCCTTATCACACAAGCCAATATCACACATATTGACAGATCCTTACAGTTCTTTTATCCTTCCCACTGGCAATAAAAAAAACGGTTTAAATATTTTTTTTTTTGGCCAAATACACCAGAATTTTTCTTACATGTGTTCTACAGAACAAATTTGTCCAACACAGAAACAAGAGCGACGCGATGGACAACACTAACTGGGTTGCTATTTTCATATATCATTAACAGAAAGCTAAACCGGGGTGAGATAGAGGCTCGTACAAATCATCTGTACTTTTATAACAACTACAACAACGATAACTTGCATTTATATACCACCCTTCACGTGGGTAGCATCTCGGAGTGTTTAAAAGCAGTGTGATTTAACACTGAGCCAGAAAAAGAGAGATGACTGAAGTCATGGTTAAAGAGGAATGAAAATACGTATGAAAATATACACGGTTACCGAGGAGAGAGGAGTTTGACATTGAAAACAGTGTTGGGAGATCTAAACGTGCACATCAAGTTCATTTGATACCGCATGTTTAGAATTTTTTTTGGTCAGCCGGGTGTCTGACTACACGTGGAAACCTTTCACCATGCTTAAGAGTATCTGAACCGGACTGAGAGTTCCACATACGTATTCCATCTACAAATGGAAATATCCCTGTGTACTTACCTAATTCCGGAGAGTGTTCTTATGGATAAATTCTCAAATTGAACCGTAAGCTTAGGAAGCTGGGTTTCCGCTCAGTGATCCCATCACTCCCAGCCTCGCCCGACTCCACTCGCTCCCCATCCCTCAGAGGGTCGAATTCAAGATTCTCGTCCTCACTTTCAAGGCCATCCATGGCTTTGGCCCCTCCTACCTGTCTGACCTGCTCACTCCCTACCAGCCTGCCCGCTCCCTCCGTTCAGCGGGCTCTGGCCTGCTCCGTGTCTCCCGCCCGACTCGCCCTACCATTGGTGGCCGAGCTTTCAGCCTCTTTGCCCCCACACTCTGGAACTCCATCCCACAGTCCCTTCGTCTCGTTTCCTCCCTTGCATCCTTCAAGGCCGGTCTCAAGACCCTCCTCTGCGATCGTGCCTTCAGTCACTCTCCCACCTCTCTGCCTTGCCTTACTCCTACCCCACCCCTCCCCCACGCTCGGGTCCTGACACCTGACTGTCCAGCACCTTGAGACGTCCTCCCAACTTGAAAGGCGGGAGGATGTCCCAACAACAAATAAATGTAATTTGTTGTTGTTGTTGTTCTGCAGGTCTAACGAGATACATCTTAAAAAAAAGTAAGGCTGCATTTAACAATTCTCTACAATTTTGCGGGATCTTAACAATCCTAATAACCTCTTCATTTGGTGTAGCCACAAAATGCTTCCTTCACCGGATATACGGTAAAGTGCAGTGACTGTGTGTCTTTTGTGGGCCAATGCAAATGAAGAATGGTCTCACGGGCTAAGATTAGGTGGGAATTTCAGGGCTTGCATTTTTAAAGAGTGATCACAAGTGATTACTTCAGCTCACTGGCATCTTACTCTTCACTCCCAGCTGCTGCTGGAGAGAGCTGTTGTTTCAAAGTTCTGTGATGTGTCACGTATATCCGAGGCTTCCACCCTGTGACTAATAGGTAAGACACTTACAGCTTCGCCGGCAAAATGCAAGTACACATGGTCATCTGGATTGATTGAACTGGGGCGTGGCCAAGTGCTGAAACAGCCCCTGCTCAGCTCAGACAGCAATCCAGTTCTCTGGCAAGTCTGAAACATATGCCTTTCACCCCACTCACTGCGTGGATCAGAGTTTTACAAATTACAAACAGACATTACAAATCAGTGGATGGCAAGAGTGCATTGAATTTTTCACTTGGATTAGATGTGCACTGAGATGTACGAAAAATTAGCACACAACTAAGCTTGGTGTGCCAGCGTGCGCTAAGCAAGTCTAGACACAGTCTAAGTGACAATATTCATTACAATAATCCTTGCATTTGATACAATTTCCTTTCATGCTTCACTCATGCTCAAAGTGCTTCACATGATATATGATGAAGTATAGTGACTGTATTTTTTTTGTGAAATGCAAAGATGATTATTGTTATTATTAATGCAACAACAAAAACAAATTACATTTGTATAGTGCCTTCCAAGTCAGGAGGGTGTCCCGAGGCGCTAATAATAATGATTAGAAGGTTTCAGTTTGAACAAAGAATCATCACTGAAACCTTATTTTTCGCTCATCAAATGCTGGCTGACCTGCTGTGGGTGTGCAGCGCTTCTAATTTCAGTACCGATTTCCATCATTTCCCAATATCTCTTTCATAATGTGGGTTTATGTGTTTTGTTGTGTTTATTGTCTTGAAAATTGTGCACACAATACACATTTGAGCAGCAGGTGGTCCCTTGTATCACTTTTACAAATGCTAATCTGTTAATTGTACATCTAAATGGGCCAAGTTCAACAACTCATTACTATTCATTATGCACCTAGCATAATGAGCCAGAGTAAATGTCATGCCTGTTTAGTCAGTGAGTTGTTCCAGCGTTAGACTTGCTTACCATGTGCATTACACTACTGGCATATCAAATATTAACAAACTTTACTCTTGCACTTTTTTGTTTGCACTTTGTTCTAAAAACAAATCTGCTTTCTCCCCCCAAAGCTCAGGCTCATATTACTGAGCGATTGCTCCAAACACCGTCAGTTATGTTTTCTGCCCATTCTTTGTGGAGACAAGAGAACAAGAGGACGTAGGTTTGAGATTGCAAAGAGCAATTTCAGGACAGACACTGGGAAGTATGTCTTTAGCCAGAGGATAATTAATCACCAGGATGGCTTACCAGTAAGGGCAACACGGGCAGGTAATGGGGGGGGGGGTATTCTAGAAGGATGAGATCCAATGGGCCAAAGGGCCTTCTTCATCTGAACTCCTGCAATCTTGCATGCTCAGATAATGAGTGTTTAGAATCACAGAATTTAACAGCACAAAAATAGATCTTTCGGCCCATCAAGTCACCAAATGAGCCACCAAATCTAGTCCCGCTCTTCTGCTCACTACCCCACACCCATTTGAAGCGTCTATCTAATTTTCTTTTAAAGGGATTTACAGACAGACTCTGCTAAACTATGTGAAAGGTCAATTGGTCCTTCTAGCTCATTCCTTTTATAGACCGTGCAAAACCTACTCTTATTGTTCAATTTAGTTCTCTGCCATAGAGACTCTCTGATATCAAACAAAACTCCGAAATATATATCTCTCTTCACAATAATAATAATCCTTGCATTTGATATAGCACTTTTCAAGTCTTCTAGACATCTCAAAACGCTTCACAGATTATATTGTAAAGTGAATTGACTACATATT